TAGTTTTAGGTCACAGTCGTGGAGAACCCGAAAATAATGTAAAGAAAAGGACAGAAACCCTTGGAGTGGCTCTGCAGTCGTGGCCCTGGCCCCAGAGATCCCTATCATGTCCCCAAAGGTTCTTGTCAAATCATCAAGCAAGGCGACTTCACCCTAGAGCTAGCTCCCTGTCCTTGCACCCAACATGTTCCTGTCAATGTTGTGTCAGAGGTTGAGCCTCGTCAGAGCTAGTACCTGTCTCCAACTTCCACGTCCCAAGATGTTCCAATTTGTTTGGCCCTAGTCATAGCTGTTCCCAAGGAAGTCCTGGTACTAGGGAATACAGTTTCCCCAAAGAGTCCTGCCCCAGAGCCAGTGCCAGAGATCACACCAGTTCCAAAGTCTCCTGTCTTTGGCAACCCTGTACCACAGCTCCCTATCTTGGGCTTCCTGGAACCCAGGGGTTTGTGTCATTCTGTGTGTCAGATTTGTAGTCTTTAGTGACATCATTAAAATTTATGTGAAAGTAAATGTCTTAGCTCCCTTCTATGGCTACCATAGAGGGAAATGTTATGGCCCCAGTCAACGTCAGAACCTAAAGCCGGCTCCTTGTCTTGGTGTGCCTATGTCTTTGTCCCTAAGGTTTCCTGGAGCCAATCAATATTTCCTGTTACAGCCATCTCAGATGTTCATGGAATGGCAAGGGTGTCCACTGTCATGGACAGCTTGGTCCCCAAGGTCCTAGACATGCTACTCTGATCTCAGAGCTTTCCTTTCACACCTGCCCTTGTTTATGTAATCACCCTAGTCAAATCAGTGTCCATTATTGGCTTAGTTCTAGAGCTCAGTTTTAGACTGCCCAATTTTCCGAGCTCCCCATCCAGCAATGTTCCTGTCACTAGGTTCCTTTTATGGACCTTGCCAAAGCCATGCCCATGGTCTCCTCGGTACCAGAGCTCCCTATTTCTAGTTGCCTCAGGCCGCTCTAGTCCAAGTGTTTCCTTCCACTCAAATGTTAGTGTCAGGACTGCCTCAGATGTTCCTGTCTCTGCCTCTTGAGGTATTTAACTAGAATGGCATGAGGCCATCCCAGTTCCAGATATCCCTGTCTGAGGCCACCACAGTCACAGAGCTCCCTCCACACTGCCATAGGTCACTGTCACTGCCTATAGGTTCCTGTCATGGACCCATCCAGAGCCTAAAGCCTTCCCTGTCCTGTCCTGTCACTGCCATCTTTATAGCCAACACTCAAAGATACCCTGTCATCAGATGCCCTGGTCCTGCCTCGATCTTCATTCAAAATACTTGGTCCTGGAGGGCCGGTGTCCTGAAGAGTTTAGCTCCAACCCCAATTAAACACACCTGAACCAGCTAATCAAGCTCTTACTAGGCATACTATAAACTTAAAGGCAGGTGTATTGAGGCAAGTTGGAGCTAAACTCTGCAGGACACCGGCCCTCCAGGACCGAGTTTGGGCAGCCCTGCTTTAGAATAACATGATCAGAGATAGAAAGTGTGAAGTTCAAAGTAATAATCAGACATTTCTTACATCATTCGACATAGAATGCTGCCAGTTGATTAGTTCTTGTCTCCAGCAAGAGCCAGAGTAGCGGCTTCGATTAAGTGAGATTATTTTTCATGACTGGTTTCAGGTACTACGCCTTACTTGTTTTGTGAAGAGTTTGAAGGTCTATTTTTGGGTTTCTTATAACCATAAGTCTATATATAGACATTAGCTCAGGAATTTTTTTTCTGAATTACTTCTGAAAATCTGATTACTTTTGATTTAGTTTTAGGTCACAGTCGTGGAGAACCCGAAAATAATGTAAAGAAAAGGACAGAAACCCTTGGAGTGGCTCTGCAGTCGTGGCCCTGGCCCCAGAGATCCCTATCATGTCCCCAAAGGTTCTTGTCAAATCATCAAGCAAGGCGACTTCACCCTAGAGCTAGCTCCCTGTCCTTGCACCCAACATGTTCCTGTCAATGTTGTGTCAGAGGTTGAGCCTCGTCAGAGCTAGTACCTGTCTCCAACTTCCACGTCCCAAGATGTTCCAATTTGTTTGGCCCTAGTCATAGCTGTTCCCAAGGAAGTCCTGGTACTAGGGAATACAGTTTCCCCAAAGAGTCCTGCCCCAGAGCCAGTGCCAGAGATCACACCAGTTCCAAAGTCTCCTGTCTTTGGCAACCCTGTACCACAGCTCCCTATCTTGGGCTTCCTGGAACCCAGGGGTTTGTGTCATTCTGTGTGTCAGATTTGTAGTCTTTAGTGACATCATTAAAATTTATGTGAAAGTAAATGTCTTAGCTCCCTTCTATGGCTACCATAGAGGGAAATGTTATGGCCCCAGTCAACGTCAGAACCTAAAGCCGGCTCCTTGTCTTGGTGTGCCTATGTCTTTGTCCCTAAGGTTTCCTGGAGCCAATCAATATTTCCTGTTACAGCCATCTCAGATGTTCATGGAATGGCAAGGGTGTCCACTGTCATGGACAGCTTGGTCCCCAAGGTCCTAGACATGCTACTCTGATCTCAGAGCTTTCCTTTCACACCTGCCCTTGTTTATGTAATCACCCTAGTCAAATCAGTGTCCATTATTGGCTTAGTTCTAGAGCTCAGTTTTAGACTGCCCAATTTTCCGAGCTCCCCATCCAGCAATGTTCCTGTCACTAGGTTCCTTTTATGGACCTTGCCAAAGCCATGCCCATGGTCTCCTCGGTACCAGAGCTCCCTATTTCTAGTTGCCTCAGGCCGCTCTAGTCCAAGTGTTTCCTTCCACTCAAATGTTAGTGTCAGGACTGCCTCAGATGTTCCTGTCTCTGCCTCTTGAGGTATTTAACTAGAATGGCATGAGGCCATCCCAGTTCCAGATATCCCTGTCTGAGGCCACCACAGTCACAGAGCTCCCTCCACACTGCCATAGGTCACTGTCACTGCCTATAGGTTCCTGTCATGGACCCATCCAGAGCCTAAAGCCTTCCCTGTCCTGTCCTGTCACTGCCATCTTTATAGCCAACACTCAAAGATACCCTGTCATCAGATGCCCTGGTCCTGCCTCGATCTTCATTCAAAATAAACAATAAAGAACATAAAATGCATCAATTAAACTGGCCTTGTTCATAGTGACAATAATATTATAATCTGCTGAAGGTAAGTATTGGTCTATAGAGGTAAGTACTAGTTTACAATGTTTTTTTTTTTTTTTTTTTTGATGACTGTATACTGACATCACAGTGTAACATTATTCCAAAGCCGCCCCCATTCTGGATATGCAGTTTTGGTAAAACATGACACATTAATAGTTTCAACATTATTTGTTCTTCCGACATTCCTCTTTGGAGGTTTTGAATAATTGAGAATTGGTCAAATCAAATTTAGTAATCTCTGAGTAATGAGACTGCCACTTTTAATGATGTTGAATTAATGAATGAATGAATGAATGGGACATTTATATATAAATTCATATATAAATGTTGCCACAAAGATATTTTGAACCTCTAATTTTACATAGGCAAATTATAGGCGAAAGGTGATTGCCATTTTTAGTAATGGACTATGCAGTAAATATTGATCAATGGCATTTCATATTTAGGCTTTTATTATCATGTGTATCTTCTTGTTTGTAGTCTTTAGTAACATCTAGTGGACAAAGGACAGAATTACAAATCTGTAAACCTTTTAGGTTTTTGACAAATAACATAGAATTGTTTTCCTCCAGCATCTAGGTTTTATGTTAAAATGTATGTTAAAATATATTTATTAGAAATGTATTCTTTATATTCATGTTTGTGTCAAAAACATAAACAGACCAGTTTCATAAAAATCTATTGTATGTATTTTTAAGTGAATGGATAGATCAGGATATATTAGGTGCTGGAACTTTCCTTATTTTTTGCCATTTTTAACATTTACCTTTTTTCTGTTTACCTTGCTATATTGTTTGACAAATCATTTATAATATGTGTGTGTGTGTACTGTCATTAGTACACTTGAACACATATCAGTTAAACCATTTCAACAGGCATTCCTTCTAGAAGCGGTTTTATTGGTTGTCATTGAACTGTCTGACACTTAAAGGGTCCTCAGACAACATTTAACATAACATATCAGCAGTAAAAATAATCTGTGAAATAAAATGTATTTCATAATCCATAATATAGATTATTGCCACAATTGAAACAGATGCAATGCAGTCTGAGTACTATACATATATGTTAACCATAGTTACCATCCACAAATAAGTTCAAGCTAGAGTTCAGTACATACAAGTTAAGTGCTGAGGTATAAGATGCATCCATTTTGAAGAAACACTCAGTTAAAGTAGTCATTTAAAAGACCTTGACATGATACTTATATAAACAGGGAACAGATACATTTAAGTTCACAGTCTTGTTAAAACTCAATCATTTTTCACTTGAAAAGTTAGGGATAAAACTAAAAGATGAATCAGTCCATCAAAAGCACCAATAATAAAAGAGCTATTCCCCTTATATGCTGTAAAAATCAGCTTCTATCTGTTGGATGAGAGTTCTAGTTTGTGTGCTAAGTACCAGTTTTCAAGATTACCAAGTAATCTTGAAAAAAGAAGACATTTACTGTTGTTTTATTAAGAACTGGTGGCAGCATGCTGTTTCTGTTTAGCTGACAAATGTGAAAAAAAGATTTACAAAAAGGTGTATACTTAGCTAATAATCCATGAAAACATGTGTCAGCTATGTTCAGTTATGTTTTTGTTGTAATACTGTGCATTTTAAGACACATGTTAACTTCCAGGAAAGCTTTGCTCTCCTAGTTAATTATGATGGTGTTCCTTTTGACTGGCCACAGGAGGCGCTCTTTCCTGATTATGTTCACCTGAGTACTGCGCTGCGCCAAACCCTTTCTTTCTTCCAAAGAGATCATTGTGACACCTTTTTTTCAATATACTGAGCTGGATAGAGTGCATTTTGTGTAAGTGAATCTTAACACACCCCTTACAAAAAAATCCTGCAGGAATCCTGATAGAACACAAAGTGTTCTATCAGGGTTATGTGTTTGTACGTGGTTTCTTCTTGACTTTTCTGGCATACAGGAAGTACATGGTGTGTCCCGTGAAAATGAACAGGATGGAGATGATGACAAGGATGCCGAAGTGTTGTGGCTGGGGTGCAGAGATGACCATGATGAAGTGCAGCAAGTCCATCAGGTAGTTCATGGAGCTCTGGACTCCATTCACCACCCCACGCTCTGATTCACATATGGTCTCCTGCAAGAGCTGAGTCACTGTCAGGTCAAAGGACCAGAGACCTGGAAAATAACAACACCTTATATAATTTTTGGGTAACACATCATGGTGATATCACATGTAATATAATCAATTAGCATATTATTCTTACTAAATTAAGACGTTGAGTCAGACCACATGACATTTCAGAACCAGAAATAATCTTTCCTCGCCATAAAAAGTTCAAACTATTTAATACTTTAAGAGACTCTCTATGATAACATTTCCTTTTTCATAAGGAAAAAAAAAAGTCAGAATTGCAAGATATAAACTCAGAATAAAAAGTTTATATTTCACAATTTGGAATTTTCTTCTCAGCATTGTTTGTTTATATCTCACAATTACAAAAAGATTAGCATAAGAATTGTTTCTCAAAGTATCTTGAGAGTATCTCACAACTCTCATAACATTTCTCAGAATTGTGAGGAAAAAAGTCCGAATTTTGAGATATATACACTTCCATAAATGTGACTGTTTTGCAAGAATTATTTCTTGTAAATGCATGCTGGTGTTTTCCTCGGAGATGGCAGCAGCTGGACATGCTGAGGTCCTGCCTGAACAAACGAAGATGGACTGGATATTTGGATTGTCATTCTATCTATTGTTATATTGTTTTTGTCTTTCTGTTTGTACATCTATCCATCCATAATTATATTTATTTTTCTTTTGTTCTATCTATCTATCTATCTATCTATCTATCTATCTATATCTATCTATCTATCTATCTA